AAAAGTATTTTAAAAGGTGGCTGGCAGTTGTTAATTAACTTGAGATCTCTAAGTGATGGTATTATAACTTACAAATAAGTCCAAAGATCTCTGATGATTGTTTCCTAGTTCTTTTTCTTCATCATCATGAATATTGTTGGTATCATATCACCCTGTTAAAAACTATTCCTGGGCCTCCCTGGTGGCGCAGTGGTTGAGCGCTGGGCTGCGAAGCTGCCCGCAGCCTCTGCAGCGCCGGTTTAATCCCCAGCCGCGCAGACCTCTCCTGGCGCCCGCTGCTCCCCTCAGCGGTGTACTTCATCACTCTGCCTGTTCTACTCTCCCCTCTGGCTCTGGTGAATTCTCTCACCCTCCTGTGCTTCTGACTGTACCCAGTGCTTGAATGAATGAATGAACGAACAAACAAACAAACAAACAAATAAATAAATACTATTCCTTTCTACTTTCACTTACTAAGTGACCATGTGGAGGTCAGTTCTCAGAGTAAGAAGCCAGAGGGCAGGGAAGAAGAATGAATGAGTGAATAAATGGATGAATGAATAGCACTGGTGAGTGGGAAGAGGGATAAAAGGCTGCAGATGGATAATAAAATCCTCACTTTCTCCTACATGAAGAATGGGTCCCCAGAATAAATGGATCATTCTTTTCATTCTTCTGAGAATTGTTTAAAAAATGGTGGTCTCTCTTCCTTTTTCTCCTAACCTCCCCCCATCTTTTCACATTTTCTTCCTCTGTAACTGAGAATTACATCTCTTACTATTCAAAGCATTTCTTTACTTTGCCTTGTTCCAAAAGGGATATAATGTTATGAATGTAAAACAATACAAAATTAAAAAAATAAGTAACTAGAGAAAGGGTTGTAGAGAGGGGCAAAGATAAAACCATCTCAGTGAGCGAAATAAAATTCAAATTCACTCTGATCCATAGCTTCATGAAATTACAAGAACCAGTCAACCAAGAGAAAAGTATAGCTGCTCTTGATGTGGAGGCTGCTAGGCCCTCTTCTAGAGGGCGCGGTGGAGCAGAGCCTCAGCAACAGTATGTGAGCCTTGACCTCTTCCATCAGCCCTGCAATTAGTCTTCAGGCCAGTGTGTGCCAGTGGGAAAATGCCAGTGCTCAATGCTGTAATAACAGTTTTGCAGTGACAGGAACGTGATCCAATACTCAGCTCATGGCAATCAACGCTTAATCTAAAAATGTTTCATACAATCTTATGGTACATTTCTTATTTTCCCCAAGGCCTGTGGTCTTAATAAATGGTGGGTGGCTGGGAGCCAGAAATTCCTGCTCAAGAATCTGAATTACTTACTGGTGGTTCAGTGAGGTTAAAGAAAGGGAGAATTACAGGTGACAACGTCAAAAGAAATTACTACCCCATCATAAAGCTAACACCGCAGCAAACTACAACTCTCTCACCTTTGACAATTAACTCTTTTCTGATGCAGCATTTTGGAATATAATTCTTGACTTGCGCCAACCTGAGGATGGAGGGACTTGTTATCTTGAATTAATCACCTTCAAGAGAAATCAAGGGAAATGGGGGTAACTGTAGAACTCATCATGAGATTCAAGTCTCCTGTCTCTAGGATGTGCTTATATTTTCAACACCTAAGTTAAACTGCAGATTACCCATTTTATGGCTTCTAAGATTGCCTTTTAGCACATACCTCATGCCAGGCACTCTTCTAAGTGCTTGATGTGTGACTCTCAATCTTTGCAATTACCCTACTAGAAAAATACTGTTACTTTTCAAGTGAGGGATTTGAAGAAGGAAAAAAAAAAAAAAAATCAAGAGGCTTTCCCAATATCATGCATTTAACTTAGAACCAAGCCAGGATTCTTCGGGGAATCTGGCTCTAGAATTCATGCTTTTAATAACCAAGCTACACTACTTTTGCAAAACTTCGAGTGGTTTGCAAATCTGTCTCCTAAACTCCCTATGCAGGTCGTTGGATCTAATGAAGACTTCCTAGCAGTTAAGAGCTATATAGAAACCTGTCCTCCTAGCAGGATGTGACTCCACTGACCCGGCCTCTGGCACAAAGTGTTTGCTGATTTGGACTGACTTACCCTGCTTCTGGGAACCTTTAGTCATCTTGGCTTCTCTAATATCACATGTCCCTGGCTTTCTCCCTGCCTCTCCGACTCCTCCTTTTTGATACCTCCTCTTCTGTCAGTCTCTTAGATGGAGCAGTCCTCACTGTTCCATCCTAGGCCCACTTCTTTTCCCCCAGCACCTACCCTCCTCACTATTACAATTTTGTCTGTATGCTGGTGACTCACAAGTATATACTTGCAGCCGGTTTCAGCCCTAAAATTCAAACTCATGGTCAACTCTGCTGGAAATGAATGTCTCATATGCACTGAAAATCAATCTGTTCAAAATTTAAATCATCTTGGTGCCTCTAGACACTTCCAAAACTTCTCTCTTTATTTTCTTAGTTGATGATCTATGGTCCAAAAATCTACTCAAGTCAGAAAACTGGGAATTATTTTTGGCTTTTTCTTTTTTCCTGTATTCAGTTATCACCAGCTCCAGTTAAGCCCATGTGTGAAGTTAACCACTTCTCTTCTTCCCTATAGCCTTCACTGTCTAGGCCACAAATAATTTGCCACTGGGTTAGGGCATCTTATAAGGATCAGTTGAATGTCCTACGTGGAGTCTTGGGGACATAGCTCCTTTCTGTCCTCATCCCTTTACTTTGCATAGAATGCTGCCAACATTTTGAACTGACCAGTTCGGCCCACCTTTTCTGTTCACAGTGCTGGAACAGCACTTCTTGTTTCTCTCTTTTTTCTTCTTCCCCATGCTTACTTGTCTTACTAATTTCTACCCTCCCTCCGGCTTAGCTGATATGTCACTTTCTCTTGAAAGCCATCCCTGACCTCCCATACCTTGGCTAATCTTTCTTCCTCTGGAATCTGCAGTCCCACCTCAGCTCTTATCAACTTGTAGTGTGATTATGCTTTTACTGTCTGCAAGGGAGGAGAAGCAGAATTTTTTAACAACAGATTCCAGAATTTCATTTTGTCCACTTATACTTGATATAAGCTCATTTATCCTTTTGGAATGCGACGACAAGGGCCAAGCCACTGGCTGGCGGCTGTGTTCCGCAACCATGAAAGAACCAGGCTGCATGATCCCTGCCACCTTTAAGCGGTGACTTCTGAGTCACCCTGCATCATATCTGGATGGCACATGAGGAAAAATCATGAAAGATCCCATGTAAGAGGTTTTATAGGCCAGGCTTTGAAATGACAACCTTCACCCCAACTCTCTTTCCCTCAGCCAGAACTCAGTACATGGCCACACCTACCTGCAGAGGAGGCTAGGAAATACACATTATCAGAACCAGAAAGAAGAGACTGGGTACACATGGGTGATTTTTAATGATGTACACCTGAAACTTATATAATGTTACAGTGCAGTGTTAGTTTATTTTTTAAAATGAATACCAAAAGTAAAAAAATGCAATAAAATAGAGCCAGTAAATCATAAAAATAAGAAGAGTGGATTAGTGATCTGAACTTTATTCTTTGAACTTTATTCATTCATAAAACTTTATTTTATCATTGAACTTTTTTCTTACTAAACTGTATATTCCATGAGGGCAAGGGCTTAATATCTTTCTCTTAATGTCATCTCGGTATTTGTCACATACATGAAGCTGTGTGTATAGTGTCTGTAAAACACTGCCCTGATGCTGGCTTCCCATTTCATTCCTCATATAGTAGCATCTGAGGCAGCCTCTAACACATTGGCCCATGGCTGACTATACTCACAGAGTTGGGAATAGCAAGTCTTTGGTGTTCATTGGCAGGTTGTATTGAAAAATAATTGCTGTTGATCATCTCTGTTTGTGAGCTATTTATATATGCATAAGCTGCAATGCTAGTTTATTTACTCTCCACCTATATTTTTTCAGAGATTTGATTACCCATGCTTTCTATTTAAGGTATGCCTTTCTCCAGATTTAAGGTACTTGGGAAGCAGAGGTGCCATTCAGTAGTAGCTTAAACTTAAAGATGAATGAGCATATTGGCTGTCATATTGTGTGACTATTGTTGAAGTTCTGGTATATGTAGTACAGTGTTCTCTTCATAAAGAATAGAGAGAAATTTCTCTTAAAAATTGACTGCTGTTTCACTATTCATCAGTAACATAAGATATATTCTTTATTTCTTAACATTGTTACTAGAAAGTTCTGTCCAAATATGGGGTCATATCTATCAAGAGTACACAACATTAAGAAGTGAATTTGATGTAATATCCCCACTCAGGTTACAATAGAACTCAACATGCTTTTTCTAACTTTTTTCCTTGCCCTTATTTTTTCTTTCTATCTACTTCATTTATCTCCTTGTATTGCATATTTATGTAAGTCACCTTCAAAATAATTTAGAACAAAGGAGAAATACACATACATAAAATATATCAAGAATTTGTCTTCCTAAGAGATATAAACATGTTTTCAGTGGTGTATGATTACGTATTTTCTCCATCTCAATCTACCTTGTTTCATTCCCAGAAATACTTTCAAGCAAATATAAACTAGTCTTTTATTTGAAGGGGAAAAAAAAGAGAAGAAGAGAATGGGAAGTGGTGTATTATAAAGATGGAGGTGACTCTGAAACTTAGAATTGAAGTAAATATGAAAACATATTTAGTATAGCAAGAGATTGTATAAAATTGGAATATTCATTGCAAGATAATGAAAAATGTATTTTGAAAGTGTAAATAAAACACATTTGGAGTTAGGAAAACTTGGTTACTATGAAATAAATAGTATTGAATATTGAACATGTAACCATAAATATATACCTTTTGGACTCAGCTCCATCATTTATAAAATGAAACCATTAGATTATTTATTCACTAATTTTCTTTCCAACTCTAGTATTCTATGCTCCGCATGCCACCATTGTTAAGAGTAGTGGCATGGTTAGACATGCAGATGTAAACACCTGTAATAATTTGGGAATTATGTTTCCAAAATAGAATATCCAGCTACATCTTCAATAAGCTTTACAGACATGAGTTCATCAACTCCAGAAGCCACCCGTCAAAGTGAGTATGGGAGGTTTTCTTCTTATAACTCAAAGGGACAACACTCTCATAAGTTTAAGTTAACTACAATAATCATGAGATTTGTGGAAAGGAATGTATTTTTTTTATTTAATGTTGATAATTTAGTTTTTAGTTTCTCTGTAGCAACTGTAATCTGATGACTATATATTGATATGACAATCACCACAGTCTTAGAAACAAGAGTATTTTACCTTTCATTTGTCATGGGACATTAAGTGATCTGAATTGTTGACAAAACAGAAAAAGAAAACTAAGTAGTGACATGTTGGCATAAAATAACTAGCAAACTTTTGCTTAATATGCCACCTAGGGTTATGAAGAGAAACCTGTTTTCAACTTCAGATTTCCCCAAAGTCACATAGATTAAAAATTTAGCACATCAAAGTAAAGTTAAATTACAGCTTAATAAAAAGGCTGAATCTGAAAAATTCGCCTTTCAGCCAGCAATTCCAGTGTGACTACCCAAGATTTCAACTACTCCTGGACCTCCACTGGGAAAGATGCCAAAAACTGTAAGTATTATTGACTCCCTTAGTATCTGCAGGCCTCATTTTTTCACCCAATACATCTGTTGAACAACTGCTATGTGCTTTGTTCATAATCACATTAAAAAATAATTACAAAGCACCTGTCATATTTAAAACATTGTTCTAGGGATTGGAGTTCTATCTATGAACAAACAGATTGAAGTTTTAAATTCTGGTGGAAAAGAAGCTGATAAATAGTGGTAAGTGAAATGGAAAAAAACAAAGCAGTAAAGAGAGAAAATGAAAATCAAGAGCAAGAGTGGATTACCATGTTAAATGAGGTGGGCTTGAAAGGCCTTAATGAAGAAGGTGATGTCTCAGTAAAGATAAAACTGATGGTGATAGGACAAGCAATGAGTAGCACATGAGTAGCAAGCTGGCCAAAATATGTATGTCACTGATAAATGCAGAGGGAGCCCAGTGTGAGGTCCAGAAATGGTCTGTTATTTTTAATCTAGCTAAGTAGCAGCAGCATCTACTGATGCATCTTTGGCAGACATGAACAGAATCTAAACAGGAAATACACTGACCTCAGTGGTATAAGATAAAGAAAATATGGTGGGGAAGTGGCAAGGAATTGTGGTTGAAACAATAAGAAGAGAAGAACTTGGATGCTGCAGGTATAAAAACTCTGAATCTCTTTGTTATGAAGAGTAAATGTCTGCCACTTTTGAAAAGCATTTAAGTTAGCTACTTCAAACCTCTCAAAGCCTTCTATGTCCACAGGCTCAGTCATTTCACTGTTGGAAACTTCTTGGGAAATAAATCAAAGAGCAAAAGGAGCATGTATAATATAATATTGTTTTGTAGCATTATTTAATCTCTTTTATAGATCTTGGGTTCACAGACTCGGATTAATCCTAATCTTTAATTCATGACACATTTTCATTATTAATTTGTGCATGACCTTCTATAATGTTATGTATTTTTAACAAATATTTTATGCAACTATTTTTTACAAATACTCTTACAAATTACTTTTAACAAATATATCAGTAATAGAAGCCTGTGAATAGACTAGAATAGAATAGAATAGAACAGAATAGAATACAAATATATCAGTAATAGAAGCCTGTGAACTCAATGCCCAAATATAAGACAGAAGAGGCAGTATCAGAAATGAGGGCACACAGAGATCCACAGGTAAGTAGGACTTTGAGATATGTCGAAGTCCACAAGGAAAATGGCAGTGAAAAGAAGAGACTGGTTAGCAAATACATCTAGGAACTTCAATTATCTATAAGAAAAAAAAGCATTAAAACATCACTACCATGTATATTACTCAAAAATGGCCTTGTTATTGTTTGTGTGTTTGTGACAAATAACAGACCATTTCTGGACCTCACACTGGGCTCTCTCTGTTTCTGATGTTTGTGTCAAAAGCAAAATATCAAACATAAAGAAATAAGTATGTTGTTGGTGATCATGATGTAAAAGCTCAAATTAAAATGCTGTAACTGAAACATATAATGTTATAAACCAGTGTTGCCTCAATAAAATTTTACTCTTAAAAGGTGCCTCTTAACTTATGCAAGTATAGACTTGGTCTTTTTAATAGATTTCATAATGAAATCCTTCATTGTAATCCTTCACATTTTCTGTCCTTCTCTACTTGAAATCTTCAAATATCTTTATCCTTAGATCTCTCATTATCACTATTACCATACAAATAGCCTTATGAATTATAAAATCTAGGAAGGACTCTAAAACCCAGCAATTTTTCCCCGGTAGTAAAAGCCCACCTTACTTATACAAGGATAAGTTCTTGTTAACTACTTGTCACTTTTCATCCATAATTCTCTGCAGTGAGTTACTATATTTATAATCATTTACAAAAACACGTAGGAGCCAACCAGTTAATACTGATTGCTCACTCCAAAACTGTTTTTGAAACATGTTTTTACTTGCTGGATTGGACTAAAATGTGACATCCAGTATTAGATGGTGCATTTGGCAAGATACATGACAGGCATTGGTAATGGGACTTCTTTTTCTTCCAGTATGTTTATTTCAGTGGATTTATGTAATGTTCAGAGTCAGAAAAAAGACTGATAGTGGATGGCTTTCTGATGAAATAAGCCCACTGAAAATGTTTCTAGTGACCTTGCTATTTGTAAACATGTTCTATGTAATATTTGCTTCTCCATGCATTTTGTCTTGCTCATAAATATTTGATGTCACTAGAAGGTTCTGAGTACATTGCATATATACTAAATTTATAAATATATGTTTTAATATATTCTTTTTGTTGATGGTTTTTAATGAGAAAAGTTACCATGGATTTAAGATTATGGGACTCTAATCCTTTTGTAACTTCTAAATTTCCTATAATTTAGAATAGAAAGGCATATTTTACTTTAGCATTTATGAAATGGGAATACCAAATATGACCATGCAAATACCCAAATGTAAAAAGGTTAATAACATGTTGGGATATATTTTTATCCTGACACTGGTGATCAGGCCATGAGGCAGAAAACTGAAGCTTAATATTTTTGTCTTTCCCGTTTTCCTTACCATCCATCTTGTTCAGAGAGCCTAAAGCCACAATGAAATCAGTCTAAGGTAGACAAGCAGAAAAATGATATGAATCTCCATTTGTCCACTTACCAAAATCAGCAAGCTCTCTGTCACCACACATATATACGCACACATCTGGCTCTCCAGGTACCCCTTATTGACCTTACATTGGGGTCTTCACTCTGTTCTTTGTCAATGCATTCCTTCTGCTTTGAAATTTACATATTCTACTTAAATCCTGCAAATGCATTTATTGTGTTACAGTTCCTGGCTGATTCTTCTCAGGTTCTAGGTAGCTGAGCCTAATAATTCCATAACACCCCTTCTACTTTCCATAGGCAGATGTGATGTAAAAGTTAGAGTTGAGGAGTTGATGGGCAATTGCAGAGGCAAGACCTGCAGCAATGGTGGGCCCTGCTTCTATTTCAGGTTACATGATAATCCTGTAGTCCCCCTGTTCTCTGCTGGCTGGGAGGCTCATTCTCTAAAATCACCTCTCTTGACCTCAGTTTCTAAAATCTTACATGTCTTATATCACCTCTCATTCCATTTTCCTAAGCAGTGGTCTAAAGCACTATCCACTCATTCTCCTGGTTAAGTTAGTTTCAAATTAAACATTTAAATTTACTTCAGTTTAAAATTCTATCTTCTTTTAAAAAAATTTCAATTTCTGGGGGCTGATGGGTTGCTCCACAGCAAGCATACAAGCTCTGCACTTCCAAAGCTCATTAGTGCTGTCTTCTTCTCATGGTCAGGAAGGGTATGAGAGGCCCACCTATGGAGTTGGTGGTTGTAGCAAGAATGGACATGATAGTACCAGCTTATGCATCCTGCTGGAAGTGGTGGTGCTGGCCCACTGCATACTCACGAAGAGGAAGATGGGTCCAGAAGACCAGATTGTTGAGACCCCTTTATCCAAACCCTGCCATCTATGCTGTTGTTCTAGGGCTCAGAGTGCCTTAAAGAAGACTGGACAACCAGGAAAATATTGTAATACAAAATAATGATAGAATTCCAGAGAAGTTCAGCTTGCTGAATCGTAAAAGAATAATGAACTTTATCTGGTTTTTTTTTTTTGGTTTTTTTTTTTTTTTTTTTTTTTTTTTTTTTTTTTTTTTTTTTGTGGGACCCTCTCCAGCGGCTAGGGAACGAACCGGCACTGCAGAGGCTGTGGGCAGCCTGGCAGCCCAGCGCTCAACCGCTGTGCCACCAGGGGAGACCCTATCTGTGCTTTTATCAAAAGAATAGCTGTTAAACTTCAGATATTGAAACTTTGATATGACACTCAATGTATTTATCTACAAAAGGACATGATGCCTAAAATGTGACAGTATTATTGATACCTGTAAACTGGCTACATATGAATGTCAGAAAATGTCATTGCAACAAAAGGCAAAAAATGCTTTTCTATTGAAATGGTTCCTGTTTTTACCATAGGAGAGAAGAACACTTTTTGGTAGAAAGTTAAGCTAAGTCACAGTTTTCTTGCTGAATAAACTTTTCCAAAAGATAAATTTAAAGAAATAGTGGGAGAATCTGATATTTTGCTCAAGAAAGGATATAACACTTTATTTGAGAAACTCCAAATAGCACAGTGCCTTGTGTTCATTCATATTTTCACAATGGTAATTTACTAGACGACATTATCCTTCAAGTTGGTGTTTATCATCCACATGACAAAGTATTTTCATTCATGGATATTGATGAAAATGGTTCCTCAAAGGACTTAAAGGAGATTAAACATGATGATGCCTTGAAAACCACAGAATATTACAATCAATTAAAAAGACAATAGCAACATAATTGCACTGAGAGACTCTCAAGAGACTTAAGAGTGGCAGATGGATTAGCCAACATGGAATTCATGCTGAAAATTGGCTATCTAAATTATAGATAGTCTTGTTTTAGTGCAAGATAAATTATTGGAGGTAGCCAACTATATCTTACTGAAGAGTCTATATAAACAAACACTTTCAGAAAAGAAGGTTCTCCTGTGAGAACAACTGATACAACTGCCCATATTTTCATCTTGCTGGAAGACTTTTACTTCAAATATTATTGGACTTGAAGTTTTTCCTCTACATTGGTTAATTAATTCCAGACATGTTGAATTGATGAACTGGAAACTCTTTTCTCCACCTCTCTTAACATGCTTCCCACTGTGTATTTCTAACAGTTTAAAATAATTTTTTAAGCTAAAACTAGAAAAATAACTCCCTACTTCTCTGAAATAGATTTTGTCATTTAATTTTATCACACGTTTTTTAGGAGTTTTCTTATACTACAAGTTCCTAGAAGTATAACACAAGTTTTATGAAGTGGTCAAACAGTTTGCATGATTTTAAATATTATATTTTTGTAATTAGAGTGGATCATGTTGATGGTATTACCACCTTCTATAATTGTGTTATGTTTAGTTATTCTCTTTTAGGAAAATCAATACTGATCAGAAAAGGTTGGCACTTTGTATTTGGTGAAAAAACTGTTGTTATCCACGTGTAACCAACCATTATAAAATGCTTTATATTGACTTGCTGATAATAAGCAACCCTTACTCTTGTATGAAATAAGTGGAAATAACTATAGCAGACTGCCCTGTTAATAATCTCTAGAAAATGTTGACTTAACACTTCTTCTGAAGGGCCTGATACCCTGCGTTTTCTGTAGCTGCAATTATCATTCACATCTAAGGAGAAATCAAGAAAGGGGAGAGCTAAAGGGGGGGGGTTAATGTTTGTTTTGGTTTATTTTGGGTTTGCTTTTATTTGGTTTTGGTTTATTTTGGCCTTAATGCCAAAGAACACAGTTAACTGGGAAAAAAACCACATATGCTAATGTTTTAAATAAATGAGCATAATGCCTGTCTAATGATTGCAACCATGTACTGCTGCAGCTATTTCACTTTACATTACATTATAGACCTGTTATCAAATAGAGATATGTGGAGCCTGCCAAGAAGTGGGTCTTTCTTGCCAGGGATAGGGCACTAAACAAAATGAGTCAATAAAGCTGTTTCAAAAGCCATATGTGCTGTCTGCATTCGCTCCCATCCACTCAAGGGTAAGGTTTGCCTTTAAATGCTTCAAAGGGGCTCACCCAGATGCTCTTCAGGCCTATGGCCATAGTGTCCTGATAATGCACTGTTAACACAGTTAAGTTTTTATAGTAAAACAAAATGTCATCTGCACTACAAACTATTTTGTTCCTTGGTGAACATTCTATCAAGGTTTTAGAGTCTTACTGGAGTCTTTCTTAACTAAAGTACACCATAACACATCTGGGTTTCATTTTCTTTTATTTTTAGAAGATAGAATAGACATTTGTACAGTCACACCACTCTCTGACCTGGAGGAACCTCTTCTGGAGATTTTCTTACATTTCTTCTTCCTGCTTCTAAGTCACAGTGATTGGGATATCCCTTATTAGAGACACCGGGGTCACAGCATTCTCTCAACTCACACTTTATTTGGGGACATTCTAATGTGTATACAGACTATGTCAATAATCTTATTTGAAGTATTCCTTGATACCATGTTTTCATAATTATTAGTTTCAATTAAAGGTCAAGAAGGGACAATGAAAGTCTTAAAATATTGATGTTTTAGTATTTTCTTCTTTATGCAGCTTCATGGATGCCCAGTGAAACATACAGTTCACACTCCTCAAGTGCAGGCCTGACACTTCATGGTGAGTACTTGGGGAAGACTTAGGGTTAGGGAAGGTAGTGGTTTCTTTATCTGGGCACAAGTGGAAAAGCAAGAACTAATAGGAAGCCAATTCCAGAGAGGAATTTAAGACTGCATCTTGATGATAAAAAAAAACAAGTGATGATGAAAATGACAATGAATGAAATAAAAATTCTTTCTGGTCACTCAAAGAAGTCAGGGACCAAGTCATAGATTTCTCTGTTTTGTATCAAAATAAAAATTTATATCATAACATTTTTGCCAATTAAGTCTATAAAAATTCATTTGAGAAAATGTACTTTCACTTCTCTAAAATGTTGGAGTTAAAATGTCATATCCCACCATCTTACCATTATAGAGTCTTGGTGGTGAGTGGTGACTATACTTTTGGTGTAGGGGTTGTGGTAAGAAAGTGTACTTTTCATCAGAAAATGAAATGATTAGTAAGCGTGGATTTATCTACTCCAACATGGCCAAAGACTTTTTGTTGACCTTATCAAATACATTAAGGTGTAAAAGAATCAGTATTTTGAGTGGCTGGATCTTTGGTAATCTGGAAAAACAGGAATAGGGCCTCATCTTTCCATTACCCCAACTTAAGATATTCTTCCATATCCATTTAAGTATCTCATGGAGATTCTTTAGCACATATTGTTTAGTCGTACATGTTAAATGTCTTCTCTTTGATTCCTCAAACCAATAGTAAATTTCACTCCCCTAGTAACTGCAAGATGCCAGAATCCTAAATTGTCCATAGTAAATTTTACACATAGTATTTTAGAAGCATTTAGGCCATTCAAACTGAACTCTCCCCAGTAACAAGTGAAATCCAATCATGATTTGATTCCATTTGTCATGGTCTAGATGGCTGGTGGATCTGTTCAGATATCCCCTTTATGTCCCTAGGTGATGTCCTCACCAGTACAACCAGAAAATTTTCACAAGTTCCCACAAGTGCCAGTGTATCTACTATAAAAAATAACAGCAACAACGCCATGTCTGGTGAGTCATTTACCATATTTGGGGGTAGGGTTTTGTTCACTCAACAAATATTTATTGAGTGTCTACCATTTGACAAGTACTGTGGCAGTTTTGGATATACGATGCAAACACTAGTCTCCTAAGATTCTAATAGTAAGTAAATAATCATAAAATTAAATTTAGTTATGGCAAATGCTAGGCAAATTTAGTTATGGCAAATGCAAGGTGTTATCAGAGTCTATCAGAATGACATGATTTTAGTTGAGGACAAGAAAAACCCTCTCTGAGGATAAATTTAATTTAAAATTTAAACCATGAAGAATTACAGGTGAAAAGCAATAGGAAACTTTTAGGTGCTGTGAAAATACAGTCTGAGGTATGAGATTGTTGAAACATAAATTAACTGATAAAATGTTGTTAATGCAAAACACAATCCTTTTTTTAAATCATAAGGCAAAGGATTTTATAAAATTAGGATCTTCCTAATACAGATAATGATTATAAATTCAGAGGCATGCTCAACTCTGACTTCAGTGATAACTCCCTTGACTGGTGAAGTCTCAGTTGATTTTATCTTGAAAGTCACACAGTTTTCAGGTCATTGGTGCATCATCCTGCATACAGTTTGAGCATAGAACTGAAAACTGGGGCCCTATCAATATTTTTAAGACCCTGATACCTTAAAGAACTGCTTAATTCAGTGACTGGGCAAGACTGGAACTCTCTTGCTCCACTACGTCATTCCTGAAGTCAGTGGACACGTTTTCTATATTTGTTTGGGAGACAATTTATAAGCATTGATATAAGACCTATTGAAAACCCCTTGTTCTTTCATTTCTCTAAAATGTTGGAGTTAAAATGTCATATATCCCATCATCTTATCAGTATAGAGTCTTGGTGGTGGGTGGTGACTATACATTTGGTGCAGGGGTTGTGGTGAGAAAGTATATTGCTATTACCTATACAGTGTTGTAAAGTAATGTTACCTCAATAAAAGAAGAAAAAGGAAAGGAGAAAAAAGCAAATAAGAAAATCCAAAATCAGACCTTTATTTTACATGTGAAGTTTTCTTTACTGAGTAAATTTGGAATATAAATCACAGTTTATCACATTTGTTCATTAGCTGTTACAAGTAACTTTTCATTTGGGCACATCTGCCAGGGATTGCTGAAAACCTTGGGAAAATGAAAAAAAAAACTAAATATCATTTATGGAACATTTTAACATAAAAACAATCAGTTGCATAAATGTAAACACAGAAATGAGAACAAGGCACTTACATGATCCCAGAGAACAACTGACATCAATGATGCTTCATGTTCCAAGCAGGAGAAATAGTTCAATTAGTCTATTTTCCAGTTGCCAATGTTTTTCTCTCTTTATGCCCCTTTCAGGTACAAAAGATACAAAAACAGATGGAATGCCCTGGTCAGTGATTGTAGCCGTGTTACTCTTTTTCTGCATGTTACTGTTTGGTCTTGCAGTGAGGAAATGCTATCAATATCAAAAAGAAATGTAAGTATAATACTAAGATATGTGGGAACAGGCACTTTTACTCAACACTTAAATATTATTCCTGTATGGGGTTCCTCTTACAGTTACCTGAGGAAGTAAGGCTCAGAGAAGCTATGAAGCTTGCCCTGTGCTACACAGTTGGGATCAGTGCACAACTTCTGACGTGGTCTCCCCCTGTGTCTGTTCAGACAATAACACATTAGATGGGATAGTCAGTGGGCATGAAATGAGAAGTAAGCCTCAACTCCCCCCCCCCATCTGAAACTGATTTTTCTTTTAAACTTTGTTATTTTTTTCACTGTCATGCATCTCTGAACTGCCTGGACCCAGCCAGGTCTGGATGCTCAAGTGTGAAATTGAGTAAGAAAGGTAATTTTCAAAAATTTCCAGCTGCTTATCAGCCGAATGGACTTTTACTGTCATTTTACCTTTTCCTCCAAGGTGAAAAGAAAAAATTAGTGGCTTACCCCCTTTTTGTCTCATTGAAATATTTTCCAAAATTCTTCTCCCTCTGTTCAGCATGTTGAAATGGCTCAGAAAGTTAAGCCTCACATTTCTGACTCATATCTAGTTGGATCAGACCCTGATTAGAGGAGACCCTTATAACATATAAAGCTGATCTTCTCTGTCTCTTACTATTACTATCTAATATGACATTGACCATCGCGCAATACCTTCTCTTTTTCTCAGCTTATCCTTGAAGACTCTATAACCACATACAGAGAGGGTTTTAGAGTAAATAAAACAATAACCCAGTACTCAGAAACTCTGGGTTCTTGTCTAAAGACATTATTTTGGTTACCACATAACTTTAGGAAATTCTTAATTCCCTGAAAAATAAAAAAGGGCAAATTTTCTAGAATATTTCTAACTTTTGACATTATATTTCCATTAAAATGTAAGAAATCCTCCTCTTTTTTTGCTTTTTTAAATTTATTTTTTTAATATATTTTTTACATCATTGTTCATTTTTAAACAATGTTTGCTTCCCCTGCCCCCAGGTGTAGTCCCCATAGAATTTCCTTCACCCCCCCCAAAAAAAAATCTATGTATAAGAAAGCCAGGTAATAGGCATTATGGATTTTTTTAATATTAAAATAATAAAATGGGACTCTGAAATTATGAATTGTTTTGTTTTGAATTCAAATATCAGTGCTATGTTAAGATGAAGAACAGTTTCTCTGTATCTTTCTATATATCATCTATCTCTTTCTCTCTCTGGAGAAATTAAGGTGCTATGGATTAGCAGACAGGGTTGGAGGTGATTGTGTCTCCGGACTAGATGTGCTCACAGATATATTTGCTTTCTGATAGCAAGAGAGCTGGCGCACTTGCACAGCTGAATCTCACACTCACCTGTGTGCTTAATGCATTTCAAAGAGATGTGTGATGCTAACAGGGTCCTGTACTTTGTACAAAGGTGGTTTTAGGAATGTGCACTGAGTCTAACGGAAGGGATTCTAACATGATCCATCCAGTAACAGGGATTCAGAAGATCTTTACCTTTACCCATCTCCCATTCAGAAGATCTTTACCTCCCATGTCCCCACAGTGCACAGTGGGAGATAGTGGGTAGGCAGGGAGAAGGCTATTTAAAAATTTTAAGAAGATTTTAAAGCCTTAAGTCTTTATTCCCAGAATTTTGAAAGAAATATTTGAACTCACATAAGAGAAACACTTCTTGGATTAGAAGGCAGTTGCTATGAAGAATATAGGTTCTGATTAAAAGACTTGAGAACCAGAGTTCTTTTGAGCAAGTGGATTAAAAACTGAGTGTCAGTTATCTACAGAGTAATACCCAATTTGTAGATACAAATGGCATATAATGTAAGCCTCATTTTCTGATTTATATCCATCTGGATCAGACCATGGTTATGTTATCATAAAAATGCTTTGCAAACTGTAGAATACCACATAAATATTAATTAATGCTATTACCATGATGTTCAAATGACTGATAGGACTAACAAGCAAAAATTTATTTTGGAAAATTTCTGAGAGAACTTATGGCACATGTCTCTTTCTCTTCTCTACTTCAAAAAATGTATAAGATTACTTTAAAATTATCCTTCATCCATTGCCTCACTTTCTTAATACTGAATGAGAAATGTTTTGTTCCTAGCATGGAGAGACCCCCACCTTTCAAGCCACCTCCACCTCCCATCAAGTACACTTGCTTTCAAGAGCCCATTGGAAGTGATCTGCCTTGTCACGGGATGGAAGTCTAGTCCCCTGGGACTCTGCCACACAGCAAAACTCTGCTATAATCCTAGGGAGAAGATATATATTGTGCTTTGTGACTGGGCAAGCCTCTTTTGCAGCTGAAATGGATGTCTGAAGGAAATGACTTGCTTTCCCAGCAACTCACCCTCTCATCTGCATGAAACTTGAAAGAGAAGCAAGAGTAAGAGGCTATGTCATGCTTGTACCCCATGCAATCTGTAGGGATTTTCTTGTTTATGTAAGAAGTGCAAAGCAGGCTGCTGTTGTTAAAAAATGCTTGCCATATTTTTATTTTTCATTTTAATTCTCTGAACAAGAACAATGGTTTCAAGCATATGTACATGCCAGCTCTTCTCTCTGGACCAACATTCTAAACTATTTGCCAAAATTATGATAATGTCTCAGGCTTGTTGTATGCACTAGGAAAATTATAAAAAGAATATGGAAAATTCTAGCAAGTGTTCCAAACTCTAGCAAAGAGTTTCCAAAGGGAAAGTGCTACTAATCTTTGTACTGAAAAACTATTGTTTGTTTTTACTGAAAGAGAACAGAATGCTTTGCATGAGAACTCCAGTTCCAGGCCCCCTTCACCCTTATTTCCATCATGTTCAGTCTGGGTTTTTGCCCTGTAGGGTGAGGAAGGCTCAAAAGTGGTGTGTAGCCAACAACCAAGTAGCTTAGCAAACATAATACCCACAAATCTAAAATTATATGAGGTAAGATTCACCTCATTCTTACTCTGTGTGTGTGTGGTGTGCGTGTATGTGTGTATGTGTTAGAGAGCAAGAGAAAAGTGCACAGAATGCCTAACACCAATCCAATTCATTTAATTCTCAGTATTCTCTTTTTAGAGAGGACTTTCCTGTTCGTTCAGTCTACCTGTTTTGATCTGTCTTAAAACAAATAAAAAACTTCAAGTCACGCTGGCATTGATGAATTAATCCAACTCTTACCAATCTTTTACAGAACAGTTGCAACAGGAGCTATTATATTGGAGAAGGAACCTAGTCAGTCAGACCTGCTCTGTATTCTGCAGGAGTTAATGAGTGAATATATGACCGATTCCTCTGGTCTCCTAAACCTCCTCACACACCCCTGTGCTAGGAGAGATAGGCAAATTCTCCATGGACTTTAGTCTCCAAAGGAACATTTAGTTCATTTGCAGTATACTCATCCCTGATCTCACATGAGAAAAACTTGGAGAGTTTTTGTGTTTTTTTTTTTTTTTTTTTATAGAGGCATGTTATTTATTTATTTATTTGTTTGTTCTGTTTATACAAGCACTGGGTACAGTCAGAAGCGCGGGAGGGTGAGAGAATTCACCAGAGGCAGAGTGGGGAGCAGAGCAGGCAGAAGGACCGAAGTACACTGCTGAGGGGAGCAGCGGGCGGCAGGAGAGGTCTGCGTGCCATGTGGGACCCTCCTCCGGGGGCCGGGGAGCAGCCGGGGATCGAACTGGTGCTGCAGAGGCCGCGGGCAGCTTCGCAACCCAGCGCTCAACCACTGCGCCACCGGGGAGGCCCGAGTTTTTGTGTTTTAAACACCGTGACTATCCCACTCCATGTCAATGAAATCAGAATTTCTGTGGAATAAGACACAGGCATCAGACTCCTGGATGATTCAAGCCTTTAACCAAGATTGCGAACTGCTTGAACAGTTGAAGTCCCTTCTGATTGATCAGAATCTTGGAGCAGTGTTTAAATCTGGTGGTGGCTAGCCTCCATATGGCCCCTGTAATTTTTGCCTCCTGATAAACCTTTGTATAATCCTCTCCAACAATGAATAGAGTAGACTTGTATAGCTGGCCAGGAGAAGGGTAAGGCATACTTTTTACGCTTGGATCATCTTGACAGTGAGTGCCAGTCCTAGACCTGGTACAACCAATATCGACACAGAAAAAATGGCCAGAGAGTGAACCAAGTTCAGCTTGTAACTTCTGCCTTGATCTTTTTTGTATCACTCACACTGGGGGAGTCCTTCAGGTCACACTGGCATTGATGATCAAATAAATTTTGCATTATAGGTCTTTAAAATCCTTAAAATGTTTGACCAGGATGCACATTAGAGTTAATAAAGAGTTAGAGGTCCTGTGAAACTGACTTGTCCAAGGTCACATAATTATAAGTGCTCCAGCCAAAATGATGACCTAGCTCTTTGATTTTCAGTCCAGGGTGTGATCAATCTCCATTATAACATGATATTTAACTTTTTTTATATCTCTTTTTACTATAGACAAGAGATATTTTATGCTTGTTCAAGCAAAATTGATGTTTTTAATGTCCAGGTAATATATTCCAAAACATACTAACAGAAACAACAAAAAAAGTAGAAACAATTGACTATGGAACTGGGTTGACTAAGAAAATTTTTAAAAATAATAATTAGGAAATGAGAAGAGAAACTAGAGTATCGAGATCAGAAGCTGGGAAGAAAGCTTAGGGAAACTGATCAAGGCCAGAGATCATAATAAAAGGACATTGTCTTCAAGGGTCTGATCAGGGGGGATGGTTTTTGAAGGAAGACTTCTTGACACTCTCACAGGACAGTCACTTTGTTTTTTGTTGTTTTTTTTTTTTTTTAAGATTTATTTATGCACACAAGAACTGGGATACAGGCCAGAGGTGGGGGGGGGTGGAATGTGTGGGTGAGAGGATTCACCAGAGACAGAGTGGGGAGCAGAACAGGCAGACTGACTGAAACACACAGCTGAGGGGATCAGCGGGCGAGTCAGGAGAAGTCTGCTGCACCAAGTGGGCGGCTCCTAGGATGAGGATCGAACTCATGCTGCAGTGGCTGCGGATAGCTTCATAGTGCTGCATCTCAACCCTTTGTGCCACCAGGGAGGCCCCCAGGACAGTCACTTTGATTTGAACCTGAGGGTTGAATCTGCACAGACAGAAATTTTGTTCTCTAAGGGCCAACATACATAACCTGAGTTTTTGACAACAGTCATGACTATGTCAACCAGCAGAGACTGGAAATGGACAGTGAAAGGACCACTGTGGGGGATAAAGACATTTGCTGGCAGAAATGTGCTGATATTCCAGAAGAAACACATGGTGAGATGGTGAAAACAGGACATTTTATTTTCTACCTCCTGCAAAGGAGCTTTTTTCCCAGCATCTGTGATTATAAAACAAGGCTCCATGCTACATGCTGCCACTGGAAAAAAAGAACCAGAGAGCAGGAAAATGTGACCATAGGCAAGATCAGGGCCAAGGAATACTCTTGATATTATTCTTAAACCCCATCTTGTGTTTCTGTAATGGGTCTGGACATTTGTTGAGTGCAAATTAACAAATGAAGGAGAACAAACAACAGAATCTAATTTTTTTCCTTTTTATATATTTTTTAACATCATTGTTCATTTTTAAACAATGTTTGCTGGTTTCACTTACAGGAGGAATACAGGGGAACCAAACAAGACATCGGTGGGAAAAATAATGACAATACGAAACACAACACAACAAAAACAGACAATTATAAATCAGAGACATCCTGCAGGGGAGGAGGTGGGAGAGGGATCAGAGGGAGGGAGGAGCAGAGGAGACTGAGGTGATGGTGCACAGGTGCATGGGGGAAGGAAACTATGGGGACTACACCTGGTGGGGGGGGACAGAATATTTTTTTTCCCCAATCTGCATCTTTGTACCCTTTGAACCTCATTTACTTAGTTTCCTCATGTTTAAGTCTGTGAGCTGTGATTATAGGAGGGACACTGAGGAGACTAAAGGGGAAGGTTGAAAGCCCAAGATCACAACATTGGGAAGAGAACCTCGGTGGGGTCCACCCAGCTGTCCTTGGTAAGTGCCAGGAAAGTGTGTACATTTGCCCTGAGTTCTGTCAGACAATTCTCCGTTTATCACCAAAGTCATACAGACAGACAAAACTGATCATGTCATTCACTTTTATGCCACTCAGCTGTTATGAGAAAATACTCCAAAGCTCTGGGAAAGCAGGGGAGAGTGAAAGGAACAATAGCTACATGAACTGGGAAGAGAAATTGATGGTCGCGCAGAGAATCATGTACAAGAGTTAGCTCCTCATTCTTCACCTTCTATCTTCACGATATAAATCTGCTTAATTAAAGTTGAGTGAGGAAGAAGAACCAGGATTTAAGAATTCCACCTAAGAATTAACACAGTTCCACTCTTCTGGGTGACTGTGTTGCACAGGATCATTTTTACATAAAGTGGATTCAAAAGGACATGCTTTGATGCCTAATAGATTTGAATCTGACATAATTACAAATGGGAATTGATTTCTGAGTACCTCTTTTGGATGGCCAGTTTAGGGCTTATAAATTCCATGCTCAAGAGACTAATATTAAAAAAAATTAACAACCATTCCATGCCTTCAATGAGTATAGATTTTAATGAGATAGACAGACATTTAATCAAATAAATACTATATGGTGTGATACATAAGAAAACAAAAGGTATATATACATAAAATATACTATATAGTATGCATACTATAATTTATTGTACAACTATTGCTGCGACTATAACTATGCACATATGTATACCCAGATGCAAAGTAAGGAAAAAAATTAACTGCTTTAAAATAAAAGGATTTGAATGAAAAAGCTAAGTCAAAATGTAAGTGATGAACTAGGCAAAAATATTCACAACACATCATGGGCAAAATTTTACAAAGAACTTAAAATTAATAAAGAACTTACTTGAGGCTAAAAAAAAAAAAAACACCTCAAAATCCTGTGGAAAAATAGGTCAAAGATATAACAAGAGTCAAAGATCTGTTTATGGGGGTGGGGGGGTGAGTGGGATTTTTTTCTCTGTTCTCTGGATATTATTTAATTTGAAAGTTCAGAAGAAAATAAGTGAGGAATCATCTTGCAAAGTTCACTGTTTCTATTTCATTTCTGGGTTTTTCTGCCTTAGGTACTGGCTGGGATCCACCACAACTTCAATCAATTTTTCTTTCTTAAGGAAATTTAATAGAGTCCTTTGATTTTCCTAGAACTCCAGGGAAAACCTTTCTTCTCACCATTAAATTATTTCATATCAAAGGAGCCTAAGCTGTGTCTTTCCAGACTTCACCCAAGAGAGTCTTCATTTCCTCCTCAAACCCTTGGGCAGGGTTCATTGTTGACATCTTTGTAGAAACTATAGCAACAGCTCATGGTTCCTAGCAGTCCCTGGTGGGATCCCAGCCACAGGGCAGGAGTGGACACAGGTTTCTTACTGAGACCTTCCCAAGCAGGAGCCAGCAGCAGAGACTAAGCAGCCACTTTCCTTTCTCCTTCTAGACAG